TATATATATATATATATATATACCCCATACTGTGGCTAATGTTGCATTCTTGATGCTTCTTCACCGCAGTTGGGCCAAACCAACTTACACTTAAACTAGGTCTTTTTAAGCTGGATAACTTGCATTCCACTTTATTTGCCTTGTTCTGCCTACCTGAATATTGTTCTATTAACTGGCCACGTTGCTTACGCTAATTGCGCTTATCTTCGGTAATTTTGTTGCGTTTGTAGCATTTTTAAGTAACTTGTGGACATTTCTTACTCATCGCGGATTAGTTGCTAACAAACTTAATTCATATGGTAATTTAGGGAAGAGTTATACTACCGTATCTGTGTGCATCATTAGCTTTATTTTATTTCAGCTTGTTGTTTAAAGTGAATGGCAATTGCTTGATATCCCCGGTGTTGCTGCGCTTGATGTGCATGTTGACAAGGTGCCTACCTGTCTATTACCCACTATTTCGTTCATACTGGCTCCAGGAGACAGTTATTCGTTGCTGTAGGGGACTGGGTGCACGGTCCTTGTGGCCGTGCTAGGCTCAAAAAGCGGTTCCATGCACTCGGTGGGGAGCGGACTACGGTCCAGCCACCGCCTTGTGTGCGCTTGATTCCCCAAATACAGCGTCCTTGTGTTTGCCTGTGGACGAGTGTGGGCCGGCTCCGTTGATGAAACGTGGTTCCCATCCACATGCCTCCCGGTCTTATTCCTTCGGGTTTACACTGGATATGGGGTATGTGGTTGGAGCTGTGGGTGGTGCAGCGCAAGCCATCCATGGTCCCTCTGTAGGCGCAGGCGTCCTGCGGCTGGCCACAGTGACAGACAAATCCGAAATCGGATGCCGCCAACCATATATATATACATATATATATATATATATATATAATTCTAGCAATGAAGCGAATATTGCGCATATTGAGTGAAGTGGTCTTATATTGTTTAACCTTGTGCCGCAAGTAGGCAATTTGGCCATACAGCTTCATGTCTTTTTGTCTGATTCATTGAAGCAGCCAGGTCAAATAAATGCATTTATGAAAGCTAAGTTTCCGGCTTGTGGGCGTTCATGCTCCAGTTAACACACTACGCCACATGCGCAATACAAAACTGCGTAAAAACTTGCTGGATTGTTCTAGGTAAGGATAATCTTGCATATGCAACTAATTGCTTGCAACAAACTCATCAGTGCATTATGCCTTAGTTGTGGACGAAAGATGAAAATTAAAATGTTAAGCGGAATATTTCTGTCTCCTATCTTGTTCAGGTTGTGCACATTTATAAACTTTGGTGTATACGAACTACTCACATTGTTTATACACATGTTGGTATTCTTAGCGTGTTCCTTCTAGTCATATCACATACATAGAAACCGCGCTAATAATTTGGTGACCCTGAAGTGACCCAACTTATTAGCGCGGTTTCTATGTATCTGATGTGAGTAGAAGGAACACGCTAATACTACCAAGATATGGATAAAGTATGTGTGTAGTTCGTATACCATAAAGTTTATAAACGAATATAACCAGAACAAAATAATGGCTGACTTATCTGTGGTTCACTGGGTAATCTGTTGTTTAGGCAAATCCTGTGTTTCAGTGCAGGGTTGTCCCTCACAGAGAGGATTGCAGGTGTGTGCTAAATCGGCGAGTGCACATGTGAGTACGAGCGAGCGCACGTGTGCGTGGTGAAAGCAGTTTGTGTGGCCAAAGCTGATAGTCCGCTGATCGATTTGGCATTTCAGGCTGTCCACTTCGGCAATGATAGCTAGGCCCTTACAGGTCACACTAATGGAACCTATGTGCAGAAAGATTCGAACACTGCTCATTAGCACTGGCATAATTTTAGGATAAATATGCTTACCGAATTCCGAGAGACTGTGTAAGCGGATAGCAACATACAAGTAATTTTCCAAAAGTATGGCAATTCACTCGTAGGCCGTGAAGCATTAGCGCACAACCATGACTACAGTATCAAACATCGGCCAACTTTGCATCGGCCATTGTGCAGCTTTGAAAAGTCGCCAAGCCACAAAAGCGAGAACATGTTACTACCTACGCCTCCCTTCTTTCGTTTCAAACTACTGCTCTCACATGCCTCCCAGCCCCTAGTACAAACCTTCCACCTATAACTTTAAAAGTGCTCGATAACAGTTAAAATGCCTTGCAGTTCTACCATATACAGCCATCCCTCCGCACCACTCACTGAATGCCAATCGCCAACAGGTCCTTATAAGACCACATTGTCTCGTTTCGTTGGCGACGTTCTAAGTTCGCATTCTAGTCAAATAGGTAAACAGCCTGCACTCGCATGCACATTGGACACCCTGAGTAATGACATGGGTTAACTGGTTTTTGAACTGACCGCGCTCTGCTTGTCTCCTCGCTTTTGGTTTCACACATCTGGAGACTCCGGTACGGCAGGGATTCGACATCCTGGGGTGGGCATCGTTCTCGGCTCCAAGGCTGGTTGATTGGATTCCTGTGAGCAGCTGTTTGACAACAACCAACGTTGGCGCACGAAGAAGTACTGGACGTTGCTTCTTTGTGTTTGCCGCGTTTGTTCCCACCGACTGCAGTTCTGAGGATACCAACTGCACCTTCTGCCACGCTGCTTTGCAGAGTTACCAGTTCAGAATTCGTTGTTTTGTAGGGGATATGAATGCATTAATAAGCTGTCTGGACTCTTCCGAAGCCAAGCTAATTTGTAGGTGTGGACTTCGATCTCAAGGACAACGGTGTGCAAGACAGTAGCACGATTACCTTGGTTTACGATACGTGGATCGAACTACGAGAAGCCTTATGTCAAAAGATGCGCGAGCACACGCCAGCGTGGTTTTACAAATGTGAAATGAGGTCCTTACATAGCTACACTTGGTCGCTCTTCCTTGATTATAACCCCACAGCCTGTAGGGATCACTTCACAGTCATCTAATCCTTGTCTGAACGCTTCCCAAGAGGCTTCTGCAGACAATTCTTGTACATTTCCCAGGCTATTTTCACACACCATCTGAAGCCGAATTCATGTAGTCAGAAGCGATTCCTACTACCGATACTACTAATGTGACCGACCGAAAATCACATAGCCGTTTGCTTATCACCTAAACTATTTACTTCATATTAATGGGGTTTGTTATACTGAATTTTGCTTTTGTTTATCTGGCCTAACTCCTAAGTAATCAGTTTAATGTTCTAACATCTTATAATTCAATCCCTAGCCCAATTGGAAGCTTACCATGCATAATCAGGGTTTTATAAGAGTTTGGGTTTGCAAAGTGTTTGCTCGCATAGAATTCTTCATCATGCACCAAGCTCTCGTCCAGATACGTGCAAAGGTAATGGAAACATTTGTTTTGTTGAGAAACATCAATGCTCGTAATTCGCTCAGAAACTTATATGTCGTCGTTCCTGTTCATCCTTAGTTCAAGATTGGCCATCTCTGCAGTTTTATTTACATACTTATTTGATTCACTATCGCAAGCCAAAAGCAATAAAGTGCTCCTGTTAAAGCGCTCTTCTAGCTAACAGCCTTTTTATGACCGTGCATTGCGTTGGTAAGGACTATTCCTTCCCATAGTTGTATCTTCTGACATGTGCCGACTGTAGTTCGCTTTGTCCCGTCCTTATCTGCCTCTGTGTCTACAGTCTAAAAACAGACAACTCATGTTTGTTCTTGAGTAATCAGTCAAACAGCCGCCGTTCATCGTATACGGAATGTTACCAGCTCTGTCCGAGTTGGTTTTATGAAGCATAAACCTAACCATGAGAAACCCGGTCTTCCATGATTTGCTAGGCCACGGTAGTTGGGCGAAAAGTGTAACAGGTGCAGTTGTGAGTTTAGAATCAGTGTCATTTATGGATTGGTTGTTTATTGGTTCTAAAACATAAACGACTGTAGGAAGAGCTTGAAGATGACTCTAATTTGAATTCAGCTGGGATTACATAAGACAATCCGAGCTTGTTGCACCTAAAGATTATGTCGATTCCTCTGTTACACACAGGTACAAATACATTACAGTAGAGTTTTCATTTTTGTCTAAACTCGTCAGGAGTAAGCATGCTTTAGTAAGACTCAAGATAGAGAGTAGGCGGCTTTCACCTAACTACTCAGTACTACATGCCATGGTGGTTATTGCCACGCGCTACTGGTTGACCATGGTTCTATCACCATTCGTCTAATGATACAGGAAAAACCGCTGTACGTGCTCTTATTCTGTCTCTCGTTCATATTACCATTCCTGACTGATCTAGCTTTGATTGGAATTTTATTTCGTAGGAGACAAAGGAACCGTGGTGAGAGACCAGGGTTGATGACAGTTACACGCATACTCGTTACTATCCATCTCCCTGAACCCTTAGTGGGCGTCCGGAATCCTACGGGACATTAAAATTGATGTTTGATCACAATTTATTCTTCGCATTCATGAAAAATTCCGTTTCTATAACCATGCACCGAGTGCAGAACAGCGCACTTAGGTAACTATCCGCTTACAAGCTATTCATTATATCCAAAGGCAGTTGTTCTGTGGCTCAAGTAGACGAGAGGTTCACTGCAGTGCGAATAAACCATGACACAGTTAAAAAAAGGGTCTATCCTTTGCCTGAGGGGTGGACAGCTCTTATCTACAGTGGCCGGTACACTAAAGATTGACTTATTGCTAGCTGTGAGTATTAGGAATGATCTCGTAGTCATCGTGCTGAGTAGCAGCGGGTAAGATATAAGTATACCACTGGGTACTACGTCACTCATTACTCATTGTCAACAGTCTGCCCGTTAGGTAAGTACTTCACAGCTTTATAAGACGCTTTCTTATGGTAGCCCAGCTGTTCTCAAGCATCCTCTCAAACATGTGCGCACCACACAAATTCCGAGGCCAATTATTTATTTAGATACATAAATGCATCAGAAACAATTGGCTTCATTCTAACTCTGTCAAGGCATAGTACAAATCCGGTTAGTGAACGTATGTACGACAACCAGTCCATGTTCAACATGGGTCGAATAGTCCATCATTTTCCATCTTTTGGCATGAGGCAAAAGAAACCACTAATTCGTCTTTCCGAGTACGCAGGATCTTGAGGGCTTCCATTGCTTTTACGCAGCGTCTGTTGTTTTCTACGACGAACTCGATCTACCTGACTATAAAAAACAGAGCACATTCCTGAATCTTCAAGCGCTTCTACAAACAAGCTTCCACAAAATGACAGGCTCCACGTACCCGCTTTGCACTGGGATGTGACGGCACACTCTGGGCTCAGTGTCCCTTCACTGAAGCTACAGACCATGTTTCTTTAAATTTCTGTGGGTAAAACTCGAAAATGAGCTGTTCACTCAAAGCGAGCTGAAATAACAATTATTTTACAAATAAACACACGCAAACCACGGTATACAGAAGGAGGTTGTTTGTCAGTGGATCGCCAGCTGCCAGCTGTCGTTACCATTCTCACCTAATGGCTGTTTTAGTGCAGTCTTATTATACAACATCACAGAAAACATAGCAGTATGTGCCTCGTTCATTATACAACACAATCAATATCTTGCTGATATCATCAATTACTGCTATAAAAGTCAGACTTGCTGAATCGATGATAAACCTTCCCCTTGTTGCAACCACAACGCGACTCAGGTTACTTGTGCTCATCTGACTGCACAAGGGAAACATATTAGTGAAATTATGTAAATTACCGAAGGGCCTTGTGCTATATATATATATATATATATATATATATATATTGGAATATGTTTGGGACCGACTGTGATTTCATGATTTCAGAAGGTTTTGTATACAAATCGGTTTTGGTAGGGTTTTATTGTGGCAACGTTTCGCCCTTGACACAAGAGCTTCTTCAGGCCAGGTGAATTGGTACAAAATTGGCGTAGCTTTTTATGGGAATGTTACAAGACAAAAACATGAACCATTGGATAATAGTGTTACAGGTCAATAGTTCAAGTGGCCACATTAGTGAAATAACAAGCAGCGAGCGTTTCTCATTGATCCACGTCATCGGTCGTTCACATGTGAGGCATTCCTTTCTGGCAGCAGCTGATTCACGCTCCAACCTGAGTTCGTCCGCCGACACCTTTTCTGACTGACTGGGTTAACGCAGCCCGCCACGCGTTCGATAACTCCAACCCGCCTGAAGAAACTCTTGTGTCAAGGGCGAAACGTTGCCACAATAAAACCCTACCAAACCCGATTTGTATACAAAACCTTCTGAAATCATGAAATCACAGTCGGTTCCAAACATATTCCAATATATTGAATCACTATATGGACCACGTGTTCGAAAATTGGCTAGTGAATTTGTGCGTTTGGCTTGTGTTGAAGCGAATTGGGAAAATCATCGTATCTTCAACATGAGATGTCTCAAATGTGGAATTATTCCCAAAAGCCTCGTTGTCAGACCACCGGACAGATCTTACACATCTACCAAGGCAGCCTACAACGCAAGCAAAACATTTCTGAGACAACGGATTTATATGACAACTCCACGCCTGAATGAAATCCGCCTGCATGCTAATCGGCTGAGCTGGGAGCTGCAGACTGCAATAACGCAAACTGAATATGATAGACTTTACAACAAGGCATCGGAAGTGAAATCAACACAAGGGATAGCTGCGAAAGAAAGACAAGTTCGTAAGTTCTATCATTTGATGTCTATGCATAGCAGGACCACTAGTCTCGTAGATAGGTCTGAATCTAGCAGTAACTATTACAATGTAGTTAATATGTCAGATGGGTTGCTGAGTGAGACGGAACGAAGATTACTAAAAATGGGTTTGCACTTTGCTGTAAATAAGTCTAAACTAACTGCAGAGGAAATTATTACTAGCGTTGAGACCGTAATGACGAAATTACCAGTATCAACAGCTGAGGATATTCGTGCACAGATGGCAGACATCATCAGATTTCAGCAGCCTGGTGAGCCAAATCTTACAATGCCGGATCGTACCGCATTAAGGGCTTTAAGTGAAGACCCCACCATTATCATCACGAAAGCCGATAAAGGCAAGAGTGTAGTGATAATGAACAAATCGAATTATGAGGAAAAAATGGAACAGCATTTAGCAGAAGGGCCTTACGAAGCAATTGAGAAAAAATCCGTGTCGTCCATATTGAATAAGTGTAAAACTGAGGTAGGAAACTACCTGAGAAGTGTGAAGGACAACCTAGGGGTGGGCAAATGGTATAGCGTATACCCGAAATCAACGATTCCACCTAGGATCTATGGGCTGCCAAAAATACATAAAGCCGAAGTTTCTGTTCGGCCCATTGTAGATGGTATCGGTTCTCCAACACAAGAACTAGCCCGAAATTTGGCTGGTTTATTGCAACCGCTAACTGGGAGAACAAATACGTTCGTACGGAACTCCTATGCGTTCGCGCGAAAGGTAGCAGGTATGGCCATCGCGCCAGACGAAATAATGGTTAGTTTCGACGTTAGCTCCCTATTCACTAACGTGCCCAAGGATGACGCATTGGGTATAGCACAGCGTTGTCTTACTGAGGACATTAGCCTGGAGCAGCGAACGAAACTCACGGTAGACCAGATCATCGATGGAATTAAAGTATGCCTTAAGATGTCGTATTTCACTTTCAAGTCAAGACTGTACTCTCAGGAACAGGGACTTGCCATGGGGTCACCAATATCCCCGTATTGGCAAATCTATATATGGAAGACTTTGAGAGAAGGGTGCTGACAAACACCACTAGTTCACCAAAGATTTGGTGGCGCTACGTGGATGATACGTTTGTGATTATAAAGCGAGATTTGAAGGATGCGTTTCTAAATCATCTGAACTCCATTAATGGCAACATAAACTTTACTATGGAACTGGAATCTTGCAGTGGCACACTGCCATTCCTCGATTGCCTAGTCCACAGGAACGGTGGACGACTAAAGACGACTATATATCGCAACCCGACTGATACGGACGGAGTGCTCCCTTACAGTTCGGGTTATCCAAAACAAATATATGCCGCTATCGCATCCTCTCTGTTTCACAGAGCCCAGACTCTGTGTACAGAGGAGGAGGACAAGAAGGCCGCTCGTAAGGAGACGGTGAGCAAATTAGTAGACAGTGGATATCCGAGGCGGTTAGTGAAACGCCAAGTACAGAGAGCTATAAATCCACCTCCACGAAGCACAACGGAGTGGATTGGGACGGTGGGAATCCCCTATAAAAAGGGAACCTCAGAAGCAATCAGACGAGTACTAAACAGGGAGAAAATAAGAGTGGTTTTTCGAAAGGGTCAAACGCTCCATTCAGCACTTGTGCGTTTGAAGGATCCACTTCCAAGAGACAGGACAACAAATTGTGTTTATAAAATCAATTGCGAAGACTGTGAACAAATGTATATAGGTCAAACAGCGAGAGAGCTACGCACGAGGATAGCAGAACACAAGAGGTACGTTTCGCGTCCACCCAGAAATGAGCCTGAATACAGGGCCCTAGTAAAACATTCAGCGGTGGCCGTACATGCGCTAGAGGCAGGACACGCGGCTGATTGGGACAATGTCGAAATACTTAGGAGGGGATTACCAGCAACAAACCAAAGGTTGATTGCTGAAGCGACCGAGATTACTAAGACTAATAACTGTTTGAACAGAACAGACGGTTGGAGTTATCGAACGCGTGGCGGGCTGCGTTAACCCAGTCAGTCAGAAAAGGTGTCGGCGGACGAACTCAGGTTGGAGCGTGAATCAGCTGCTGCCAGAAAGGAATGCCTCACATGTGAACGACCGATGACGTGGATCAATGAGAAACGCTCGCTGCTTGTTATTTCACTAATGTGGCCACTTGACCTATTGACCTGTAACACTATTATCCAATGGTTCATGTTTTTGTCTTGTAACATTCCCATAAAAAGCTACGCCAATTTTGTACCAATTCACCTGGCCTGAAGAAGCTCTTGTGTCAAGGGCGAAACGTTGCCACAATAAAACCCTACCAAAACCGATTTGTATACAAAACCTTCTGAAATCATTATATATATATATATATATATATATATATATATATATATATATAATATATTATATATATATATATTATATATTATATATATATATATATATATATATATATATATATATATATATATATATATATATATATATATATAATATATATATATATATATATATATATATATTTATTATAATATATATATATATATAATTAAAAATATATATATATATATATATATATATATATATATATATATATATATATACATACATATATATATATATATATATATATATATATATATATATATATATATATATATATATATATTATATATATATATATATATAGTATATATATATAATAAATAACAAAATATATAATATTTCAGAAGGTTTTGTATACAAATCGGTTTTGGTAGGGTTTTATTGTGGCAACGTTTCGCCCTTGACACAAGAGCTTCTTCAGGCCAGGTGAATTGGTACAAAATTGGCGTAGCTTTTTATGGGAATGTTGCAAGACAAAAACATGAACCATTGGATAATAGTGTTACAGGTCAATAGGTCAAGTGGCCACGTTAGTGAAATAACAAGCAGCGAGCGTTTCTCATTGATCCACGTCATCGGTCGTTCACATGTGAGGCATTCCTTTCTGGCAGCAGCTGATTCACGCTCCGACCTGAGTTCGTCCGCCGACACCTTTTCTGACTGACCGGGTTAACGCAGCCCGCCACGCGTTCGATAACTCCAACCCGTCTGTTCTGTTCACACAGTTATTAGTCTTAGTAATCTCGGTCGCTTCAGCAATCAACCTTTGGTTTGTTGCTGGTAATCCCCTCCTAAGTATCTCGACATTGTCCCAATCAATCGCGTGTCCTGCCTCTAGCGCATGTACGGCCACCGCTGAATGTTTTACTAGGGCCCTGTATTCAGGCTCATTTCTCGGTGGACGCGAAACGTACCTCTTGTGTTCTGCTATCCTCGTGCGTAGCTCTCTCGCTGTTTGACCTATATACACTTGTTCACAGTCTTTGCAATTGATTTTATAAACACAATTTGTTGTCCTGTCTCTTGGAAGTGGATCCTTCAAACGCACAAGTGCTGAATGGAGCGTTTGACCCTTTCGAAAAACCACTCTTATTTTCTCCCTGTTTAGTACTCGTCTGATTGCTTCTGAGGTTCCCTTTTTATAGGGGATTCCCACCGTCCCAATCCACTCCGTTGTGTGTCGTGGAGGTGGATTTAGAGCTCTCTGTAATTGGCGTTTCACTAACCGCCTCGGATATCCACTGTCTGCTAATTT